CCAAGAACAAATGAACCATGTTACATGGTGTGTCTGGAGTATTTTCTATCACTGTAGTGTTTTGATGTTACAATAAATAAATATATATATTAATTATTTCAGTATATATTATGATGATTGTTTTATTTTAACCATATATCACTGAAAATTCAAGTAGACAAAGTTTGCTTCTTTTATTAATTTCTTGTGAATGATTCATAGTTAAATCAAACTGTATGAAATATAAATAAAGCTCATGGTAAATGAATTAAAAAGATTCACTGCTGCATTCACGAGGTATATGGAGTAGGTACGCAAGTGGCAAATTTAGATGACATGGTAGTAGTTCATAGAATACTTATGGTGTTCTCATTATCACTTTGGCATACGAAGTAAAATTACACTCTTTGACAGAAAATACTTTCCACCTTCAGTATTCAGATCTGCTCTTCCTGTTGAGACGAACTATTCAAAAGCCATGTTCCAACCTTTCACCTGGACGAGTACAGTATATACATTTGGACATACTGACGCGCATGATGAGATACCCAAACCTGCTACGAACAGCATCAAACATCCGGTGCTCTCGACGGGGTGCAGAGAACCAGCCAAAAGCAAGGCAATCGCTATAGTTGCTGTCAAGATAAGATACGCCGCAGACCTACTGCACATCAAGGAGTTCGGTACAGATTACGCAGAGCAGACTCCTGCTCTCAATGCCTATACTCTGTAGTAGAGGCACACTGGTATATTTTCCTACATGTGATGCTTGCTTTCGCACTTGTCTGGACTTTCAGAACACGCACCAATTTGTCATAATAGTCTGAAGGAAAGGATGGTGATTGCTACTGAAGCTAAAGTGTCTGATTACACTGGCCACACACTGATGGGAAATTTGCAGGATTCTAATTTGAATTAGACATGGCGTCCGCATTGACTACAGTAATTTACTAATAAGAGTATGCCATCTCGTGCACATCATTTTGCACAACCGAAGATGAACTTTCTATGAATTGTACATCTGGCTTGATGATAATTTGTAACTGCAATTGTTTGTGTTGATTCGAGCTTGGAAAAATGTCATATGCTTCGAGGATGTTGACATTGGAGATCATTGATGTGTATTAGTCTGTTTGAATCTTGATACACAATGAAATATAACCTGAAATTGGACCTTTGCGAAATCTGAGACTAGAAGATCTACACATTCCTGATGGATAGAACTGCATTTGTCTTTGTAAGTACTAGTATCCCTGTTATGTATTTTAACATTATTTATAACCAAATTGACACCTCTCTCTCTCTCACCCTCACCTAAAGCGAACTTTACGGGAGAAAAACTCAACATCAAAGGACAATTTCATCAACATTTCTTGTTGAGTGTGGTTCCTTCTCACCTCTGGAACAAATTGCTACATAAACGCTGGAACGGATAAGTTACATATTAACAACTTTCTAAGACATGAATGTTATTTTTCCATGGAAAGTCACTGTTAGGTTTATGTGTGACGGTACTTGTATGCGGGAACCTCCATTTAATAGTTCTACATTCTAAATAAAAGTTAGTCTTCAAGAATTGACACATTCAACCATGTTGTTGACTTGGTTTTTCTCTTGAGTTCTAATTATGAGTATTTTATATACGGTGAATTCGATTCACATTTACTCATGGGTCCCATTGTCCTCCGTCCGTCTTGTGATGGGCTGACATCTATATAGTTTGAGATTCTTCCACGAAGAATTCGGTCCTTTTCGTGTTGCTTTGCTTTACTCAAACAGAGCTTAGGTCCAATCATATGCCCTTTACAAACCTTTTTGTTCATTGCGTGTTCCACCGAAACTCAGTCCTTAGTGCCTCCGTGGTGTACAATATAAAAAATTCAAGTCTGGACTGTGTGCTGAGCACCATTCCAATCCTCAAGGACTCGATGCGATGTACTGACACCGGTCACGCACATTTCTGCACAGCTTTTCTAAATCACTGCATTCAGCTATAAATTAAGCTAGAGTACACTCTTGCTAAAGGAGAATGTATGCCATTCCAATCAGCCAATCACCAACATGTACTTTACAGTTGAAGGAGTAAGGACTCCAATCCCCCAAAAAATGATGATAGTCTCTTCAAGACTTAAATTTGTCCTTTCGGTTTAGGTTTGTGTGGCAGATTGAGAGAGATTGACAAAAGAGTTGCAAGTAAAACCGAAGCCGAAAGAAACAATTTTTGCTTCTCATAAGCTAAAACTGAGAGGATATGGCAGTCATAGAAGACTAATGAAGAGCACTGGAGACGCTGTTAACGAAGAATGACTAAAGATACGAGAAGAGCACGGTCATATAGTACCACGAAAGCAATGATCAGAACTAGGAACGCAGACAGACAGGTGGACGCACAACATTTTTCACAGCGTGTCGGAGGCAATCACTTACATCACAGATGAGAACAGTTGAGGGTAAAAAGAAAGTCTATCAATTGGTGGCATAGTTTGAGAAGCCGGTTCAAAGCTGTCGTCTCGTGTCGGATCGAGATCAGCCTAACCGTGACACATCCTCCACTTATTTCAGACAAAACTAGTGTCGTAAAAAAAGAAATTGAAACCATGACTCAAATCACTAGCTAGAATATACACGTGGGTATACTTATGTCAAAACTCTAGAGGCCAATGTGGATTGACCCAAGCTTCATGTCTTCCTGTCAAAGCACGACCGTACTCACGGCTGAGGAAGTCATGTGAAATATTTCCAAGTAAGAGGCCTTTATGAGGAGCTCCTCTACTAAGTCGAAAATAAATAAATTTCTGTCTCTACGAAGCAGGTTTATAAGGTCTCCACGTCAAACACAACCGGCTGCGAAAGATGTCCAGTCTGTAGACTGGAATTTCAGCGCGAAGTGTACCCTCTTATGTTCAAAACGCGTAGCAAGTCATTGGTAGATGAAATTGTGTGGTCTTTGTAATGCAAACACGATCCAAAGACAGAGTAATCCAGATTTGAAAATGTCCTTTTTCACTATTTCCATTCTTAGAGACACTAAATAGTGGTGAGCCTGTTTTGGCTGCGCTGTTTTCGCTTGTTTGCACCCATCACTTACAGCACAAGAACATAACCGATACTAGGGCTGTGAAAGGTTGTTTCTTTTGAGTAGTAAGGAGCCTTGATTCAGGTACTACACGAAATGAATCACGAAAGTCCAAGGGTACTCAAACTATGCGCCAGTACCATCTACAGAAAGGTTTCGAAAGAGTACCGAAGCCTTCTGTGAACTTCCAAATTTTACAGAGGACTCTACTGTCACAACTTCCGAACATCCAAATCGGCCTATTCGCATTCTCAAGCTGAACCACCGTCAGTCAAATGGAATCGATTTGGAAACTCGGTCTGGTTTGGGAGAGGCTTCATACTCCAATTTCAACTCTCATGAGTAGAGCATTCGTACTTCGACTTTTGTCTGAAGAGAGGTTCCAAGTCAGCTCAATTCAGTAGTTCAAAAGAGGCTTCTTGCTGCAAATGACACGTAGCATTGAATTTGCGAGCACGTTCTGTCGCAGGCAACCATGCTCATGCAACGCATCTCATACACCTAACAGTTGAATTTTCACTGACTGCATGGCTAAGAAACATGCATGCATGCCAGTAGGCAGCATGGAAAGACGATAGACTGGCACAGGTACTATAATCTACAGACGGCTTCAGTGTAAGCACACTGTCAGTTGCTGGAAGTGCATGTGCTCTTCGAAAAGATCAAACTCCGGATAGAACTGCATGGAATGAACATATTATTCCCTGCTGTAAGTCATTTAAACTAAAAATCATCTCAGTACAGGAGAGAGCACGACACTGTCACTCGATCAAACCCTCTTCTCATCTTAGCAAGAGAAAAAACTGATCGCGGGGGATTTCTGGTCAGGGTTCAAGAAGTGAGAGCAGAAGACATGTGACATTCACCACTGATGAAACCTCCTGCAGCCGCCCTTGCTGCTCGAGGATCTGCAAGGCGCAGCAGTTGAGTCGAAGGTGACTTTCTCCAAATTGTTGAAAGAAAATCGAAACTAGGGTTACAATCTGAGATAACACAAACTGTAAGTGGAATGGACCGACTCGGCTTCTGTTTTCGGGTACTTGAGTTGTCTTTAATGCTAGAGCAAGGAAGAGCAGCCTTCGTATGTCACAGCTGCGGTTAGCTAAAGCTAACCACCACCCGATGCCATGCTTCCATCGCGCGACTCGACGTGCAATGGGCGCGAAGAGCGTGCAGTGCGATGTGTATGAAAATGACTGCATGAACCTAGAGAGATTCAAAAGCAGCAACCCAATTGAGAGGAAGGAGAGGGTGGAGGGTACACGCAGCGCAAGAAGACTCTACGCTCGCCTCCGGTCCAAAGCCGACACGCCAGATGGATGAAAAGAAGAGGGCTCGCTTCAACGTGGATCCTTGCGTGTCCACGACTCACAGGAAGAGAGACGTCTACATGAGCTCCACTGAAATCTGTGGAGTTTGTACCTCTCGACTCTACATAACAGCCTCATTTCCCAAAGATTTCCCACTTACTTGATCGGGTGTGTTAGCCTGAGAAGATCATGGAGCTATAGCACTGCGGCATCTGGTGGGTTCAGAGCTGCTACTTACAGCGAAAGTCAGGCGAACTGATCTGTGTTAGTACACCGTCACTCCCAGCGAGTGCTCGACTCGACACCTTCATGTGAAATACCATCTGCAGAAAACAACGCTAAGATAAGCTCAAGCGGGAGCAATGAATGGCGATCAAGTTTACCAATAATCTTGACTCTACTCATTCGTAGCGAGAACGAGTATCGGTGATGAGGCAGTGTAGTGCACTGCTTTCCGTCGCGTGGTAGAGAGAGCAAGACCGAATCACGAAATGATCGCCCCGGATGGCAGACGGACAGATTGGGATCCCGAATCGCCATCTGTTCACTTACTCACTCACTCGCTCGCTCATGCACTGACCGAATGTTCCAATTCAAACTCGACGCACGGATTCCCACGTTCGCGTTCCATGCATCGTTCTTCTGGACTTCTTACAATCATTCCTGCACCATCACAGCTAACAGCTTTGCTGTACTCTTAAAGGAAAAGCAGGGCCTGAGGGATCACAGGAAGTTATTTCCACTCCTGCTAATGATCGGAATCAGCATTGCAGGTTGTTCGCCCCATCCCATCAGTAGTCGGGAGGGCGCAAAGATACCAACCACTGCCTGGGAGAAACGCAGCGAGGGGGAACCTCGTGGGTCAACGTGTAGCCTCTAGATGTGTCTGGTATCGAGACAGGTACACGACAAACTCGACCAGCGGGGCAGCAGGACACATGGCGGTCTGCTTCTGCTTGGCTATTTTGTAAGCCAATCTCGTAACATATGACATAATAATCTAGTCCGGACTGCGGACTCGTATGGCAAGGTGTGGGAATCACGTGGCGCCTCCCTCCGTCTCCTCTCTCCCTCTCTACTGCCGCCAGCCTCGTCCCGACCCATCACTGGCTGTTGATGTGTTCATCAATGCTTTCCAAGCTTCTCGACCTCGGATGGCCCCTCGAGGAAAGAAGGACCAGGTCTGTGTTGAGGAATAGATTATGCATGAGGCGCAGCGAAAATAATCCGCCTTTTGTTTTTTAGCTTGTGGCCTAGAGAAGAACGGGGGAGAGGGAGGGAGTGAGTACATTGGCGGCTTAGGATCTTCCCTGAGTTTTCTCCTTGCTCGGCACGAGCGGCGCAGTTGTGTTTCCGACTCATTGAAGGTGCCGTGGAGCGTGGAGGATTCTCGCGCTCTGGATTTTTTGCAAAAGATTGCGTTCGGGAGTTGTGTGTGGTCGGGAGCTGTGGCCCGACGAGGAAGAGGAAGAGGGCAGCGACGGCAGGCGTTCAGTGCACAGGTGGAGTTTAGATTCCCTCCGAAAACAACGATAACGATAATCGCATGGAGTCGAAATCGGAGTCCGAGGTATCGAAAATCAGGCATCCTTGTTTCTCTCTCTCACCCACCCTACAGAGTCCGACTGTCGCTGCTGCTGCTGCTGCTGTGATTGCCAGTGTCTCCTCGTCGACCTCCCCGTCTACGTCCGCACATGCGGAGATGCCGTAGATCGTCCTTGAGTACATGCATCCCCGCGACATGTCCTGCCTCAGCTCCTCTCTCTGCGAGCGACGACGCCCTCTCTCTTTCGAGACTAATCGTAAGACCTGGCTCGGGGGAGTATCATTGTGAGATCGACGGCCCGCCCGTGGCCATCTCGTCCTCCATCTACATGATCTCTGTCTCTCAGATTTATCGGTCCGGTTGTCACCCTGGAGCCGAGTTGAAATCGGTGAAATTCTGCGAAACCGGACTCGAAATTGACGTCGAGGAGTTAGCTGACTGACTGACTGACTGATTGATCAGCGTTGTCATCCATCGGAGCTTCGATATCTGTCATGGAGCTTGTTTGTCTGTCACTCTTCCTATGACAACGATCAGGGAGGTGCACTGGTGTTTGTCATAGCTGGAAGTCCTCGATCTTAACCATGCAACGAGTTCATACTGAATCCGTGATTGTGAGAACCGACAAATCCGCTGTAACTTTCCACCAAATGAAGAGCAGCATCAGCAGCTGCAGCTCGTAGTACTCTGTCTACACAAGCAGCATCCGAGCGCGTATTTATCTGTGTGCACAAGGAGTGTCGTCGTCCCAGATTGAGGGGTTGCAGGGTCGCCTAAATCTCATGTGACCATGTTTACTGTGCAGGAGCAGCGGTAACTCACCAGTGCCTGCATGAGTATGCGGGCGGAAGTCAAGTTGCCAAGTGGTGGTGGCGATGGAGAACCTCTGATGGTGGTCATCGTCGGAGATTGTCGACTGTGTCCAGCCGACATTCCTAACTTGGGTGCCTGAACGATGGCGGTGAAGGCTGAGCACGAAAGGGGAAGGCAAAGGTGCAGCAGCCGGGGACGAGGTTATGGCAGCTGGGATGGTTGATTGCTGGGACGCCACAGTCAACCAGGTGAGAAAGATGAATTCTCCGGGCGGTTTAAATGGTTTGACCCGCAGCGCCGTGTAGCTTGTTGATTCTATGCGTCTGCTGCTGTGTGTGGCAACTGATTGACTGGAGGAGGCCGGCCGCCAGTTTCAGTGTTGAGATGGGATGCATGTGTGGAAAAGTCACCCCGCATCAGCTGGGCCTATCTTCCAGTGAGCCGAGAGTGCATGGAGCGTGTGAATTTGGAGCATTGCACGGGCAGGTGGAGAGAAACACTGTGATGGAAACGACATTGTGGAGGGAACTACCCGAGCACCTGTTGGACATGGTTCTGGCTGGTTTGCCCGTACAGTCTTTGACTCGCTTTCGATCAGTGTGCAAGCGCTGGGAGTCCATGCTCCTCTCGCCCAATTTTCTGAAGTTATGTGCCGGTAGGCAATCGGAGAAACCGTGGTTTTTGTTTTCGGGACCCAGCGGCGAGTGCATCGCCCACAACCCCAATTCCAACAAGTGGGTCATATTTCCGCTCAATTTTCTGCCCTCCTTCAAATCGGTAGCCGCAGCATCCCGAGGCCTCTTGTGTATCAAGGGCGACGATGACCGAATTTTCGTCTGCAATCCGCTCACTCGCTCCTCGGTCGAGCTTCCGCCCATGAGCATCCAGCGGGAGAATCCGGTCATGGGACTCGTGGTCGACAAGGACCAGAACTCTTTCAAGCTGATCGTCACCAGCAGCTTCTATGACAGCCTTCGCGCATCAGACGTCACGACCGAAGTGTACGATTCTGTTTCCAGAAGCTGGAAGCTCATCGACAGCAGACTGTCCAGATTTCCTCTCCAGAGAGAAGCTTTGTCGTACAACGGGTTCCTTTACAGCGCAGGCTGCAGCACAGTGTTGGTATACGATGTGAACAATGAAATGTGGAACCAGATGGATAGCCCTGTGATGGAGCTCGGAGTCACGGGTCCGAAGCTGGATACCACAGTGCTTCCCAAGATTTGTGAGTGCAAGGGTCGCCTCCTGATGGTGGCGATCACCGTCAACAGCGCCCTGGTGATCACCCGAGTTGCAATCTGGGAGCTGGCTCAGGAGCGGTCGTCTGCCCGATGGAAGGAGATGGAAGTGTTACCTGCCCCGATGCTGGAAGAAGTTGTCCGCTTGCTGCCTCATGGCTACCTCTCCAACCTGCCCCAATATTCCGGGAACGATGACTTAATGTGCCTCGTCATTGCATCCAGCAGAGTTCTCGTTCATTGCATATCCCATCGGACGTGGTACTGGCTTCCCCCCTGCCCCTTCGTCCGAGAATTCGGTCCCAAGGCTTTTGCATTCCAGCCCATTCCTAGTGCTCTTGTGTAGAAGGATACAGTCGTATGCAACTTTGTTCTCTTCCGAGCGTAGCTGTAATTCTACTTCAATCGTCAGGCAAGCGATCAGCGTGGATCGTTCGTTTCACCTCCGATCGAGAAAACCACATTTGTCTCAGCTGATGAACGACGTATACAGAGAGTGGGCGACGCCCAAGATTTCTAGGTTCAAGCGAGTATCGTGCTCTGGAAAGCCAAACCAATTTGGACGAGCAAGCTGTAAATCTGCAGTTGTTTCATGCATATCAAGAGGTTGAGTCGAACAGGTGATGTCAGGCAGCACAAGTCCTGACGGATATCAATCTGCAAGGCTGCAGATTGTTTAGACTTCGGCTTGTTGCTATGGTCATGATTTACCTCGTGTAATTAGTGATATTGAGTATGGAGCTGCACCTCTGAAGATTGCTGAGGAAACTCTTCTCAGTAGGAGGATGGACTCCATCTGACGTGTAATTATGGACATGGGTTTAGAAAAGAAGCATCTCTGCCCATGAACATTCCTTAATACCTTCATGAAAAGAATATCATAAGACTGTCTCGAATATCCATTTGCGCGCTTATTTTCTACACTACAATCGTGATTGCAGTATGGCTGGAATCTTTTATTATCATACTGGAAGTTTGAAGGCTTACAATAGTTGCTCTGTTTCAAGTTTAGAATTGATAACCATGATCCTCAAAGAATTGGCATCCCGTCTCCCTTACATTGACACCGTCAGAGTACAAAAATCAAAGTCTGTCATTGACGGATGAGATAGAAACGCAGTCTATGTTGATGCAGATTCCCTATCTACTTTACGTACGTAATACTAATAAGTCAAGTAAAATCAGGCGCATTCATGTTAATCATGTGGAATTAATATAAAACGATCACTGACGTGACGAACACTTCACTACTTCTAAGTACGGACCGTCAGCATAGGGACAGACATTTACGGTACACTACACTAAAAATGCATGTGCTAGCATGTACTCAAGTGCTAGGCTTTCCCAAATGTTGGTGTGAATACCGAACGAATAAACGGTAGATATACAACATAGTGAGATCTTGAAACTTTGCTTTGGTCATTGTACAGAAACTGAATTATGACATCCTCCACTTGTACAATGGATTGTACAAGACTACATCCCATAGTGTCGAAGCTTTCAATAGTAAGGCCATCGGTGGCTCTACGTACAATCCTCCAATGGTGCTCCATGAACGACTTTATGAATGACTTTAACATGCAATCAGATTAGGATGTTGAGTGCGAAATCTGACCAACATACATTGATTAATAGATGAATCTTCAGTGTTGGATAGCTGAAGTGCTTTCTCTTAGAATATGTTGACATTTTGTGGAGGGGAATTGCAACCACCCACGTCACCTGATATATTCGGAAGTGTAATAATCTACTACAGTGAGAATTCCTATGAACAATAAATAAATTATCATGTCATTTGATGTTTGTAATCATACATAAATCATTCCACACGCTTCTAAGTTTAATCTTTTAATTTATCTAAAATATCTAAATAACAAATTGAAAACATTACTAAATCATTGTACTCGCATTTGAAGTGTGATATTTTTCTTCGGGTTAGGGAGAGATAACTTTGGGTGTATTCCTGAGAGTGAAATTCGTAGCTTGCTTTCTCGCCAGACGGAGCTGCTAACGAATGGTTATTTTTTGGGGATATTTCTCACATCCTTTACTTTCAGAATAGGTTCTATCTCCTAGAGTAAAGGAACAACACTTCAAATTCAGATGCTTAACATCTTCATCTATACTACCTGATTGTTTCGCTATAACACTCCAATTTTTCAAAGTCCTAAATTGTACAAAGCAATGACAATCAAAGAGTAAAAGCAGATCGAAGTGACCGCAGTGAAATAGGAAAGGGAGAGTCATGGAAAGAAAGTTTAGGATGTCAACTATGAAAGAACGTACCAATTCTCCTCAACAACCTACATGGCTTAACATGAATTTGAATGTTGGATAGGTATATCCACGGACAAGCGTGATTGTATTACAGTCAAAGAACCACAACGTTAAGGTAGAATGCTCATAGGTCACATGTTACATAGTTATTTTTCCCACGAAGATTTTTAATTTGATTACGATTGCCAATATTAACTCTGGTATTATGCTCAGTATAGTTTTAATCTAAACGTCATCGAAAGATAATTACAAAGGCACGACCGAAAATAAGGCAACCAGAATCCAGTATGTACTATATCTGAAATTCATCATTATTTCTGGAACACAAAACCAGAGCTGTCAGGTATCCACAAGAGAAAACAAAACCCAGGAATGAACTCTGTAAGTGCCCGTGGATGAGAAGCTAATCTTACTTCAAACACAACGTACTGCTGCTCTTAGAACATTTGAGAGAAGTGTGGGAATGACAATCAATCCTGATCTCACTGAACCTGATGAAGGCGAATCTTACTTAACATTTCAGTTCTCGGTGCTATAAGACTTTTTTGTTTGCAAACTCGAAGAACTTTGCTGCCAAAGATCCCCATTGGCCGCAACGCACGCCTGATCTCTTTCTATCTTCACGTACAGCATGCTTAACTTTATGCGATGTCGTGCCACTAGGAAGAATTGAGTCATGTAACACGGGATTCTGCACTGTCGACTGCCATGTCAATCAGTGAAAATGTGTGTGCATATAGGACTGCATGGCTGCAACATGGTGAACACTTACCTATTTGTGTACGTTTTCCCAAGAGGTTTCTGCGTACCCTGATTTTGGTGGGTGGTCACTCAACAAGTAATAAGTATCACAATTCTCAAGCTCTTGGCTGCATTGCATGTGCCCAGTACCCTATTTAACTCCATAAGAACAATCCCGCAATGATCATAGTTGAACAGCACTCTGTACAAACATATCTTATATGTAGTCAACTGCCACGACATCAAGTTCTATCTTTAACATGTCGGATGAATTGTTTAACGTCCAATTATGTTGCATCACCCATCCACGTGATCAAATCTTATTCAGAATTTTCTATTTCGATTGTACAATGTTGAGTTGAGATTGATTCTCTCATCACAAGTTTCACAACATTCCATGAGCCCTCAGTAGAGACAAGAGCGCCAACTCATTGAGATATTATTGTCAAGCCAAGGAAACTGTAGGAAATGTCCTGGCCGAACACTGCTTCATTAGTTGAACTGAACTGCCAACTCACAACTTAGCTCCCAGTCAGCACAAGCTCCCGTTACGTTTTTTAGATATAACTCTCTCAGTTTCTGATGTTTTATGTATGTCAAATTCCTTGGAATGATGACGTCATTATTGAACCAAGTTCCCATTATGGAAGGTTTGGTAACACCTGTCCATGTTGCAGTTCAGATCTTTCACGCTCCCATTCCACAAGCTAAACAGTTCGCAGCACTGTTTCAAACCGTCATAATGGATGACTTTCTCGCTTGAGGATTGTGAAATATCTTACCCACATGTATTCTAAAGATATAATACACCCATGAAATTAATTTATATCATTGCAATTTTACACGTTTGGTACATGTGGCTTTTATTTGTTCATCTCTGTAATTGTATAGTTTCGCTCGTTCCAAATAGGGATAACTTAAGCAATTCAATTGCAGTAGTGATATTTATTAATAACTACGTTAACAACAGACGGTACTGAAACTTAACATAAATTTTTGTACGATATATTGTATGATTTTGAAATCAAAGTCCCCGTTGTCAAAAATAACAGAAATGCTCCAGGAACTAAGGTCAAAATTACTTTAATGAGTATCATCGTTATTACCAATGAGACACTTTGAGATACTTACTGTTTTCTAAGTTAGTATGATTTATATATCTTCACGCTATTTTGTTTTCAAAATTTTATATTTCTTCGGCATTGACATATATACCAAATAATAATCAGTTGTAATAATATAATGAAGACATAACTTAATCTCCTGATATAACAATAATTTTCAATCAAATCTAAAGATCTACAAAGTAAAAAATGTATGATACCAAAAAATATATCCAATAATGTAAAACAAATAATTGTAAAGATACTCATGAGAAAATTATGAATTTCTACATTTAAAAATTTATTATATTTAAAAATATTTGCATGTATTGTAAATTTTCTTTAACTTTAGAGTACAAAATGTCTAGTGTAAACTCTTCAAAATTTTAATTTATAATGCTTTAAATTTTTTAAATATATACAAGGAATATATTTTTTTATATTTAAAAAACATAAACTAATTATTTACAAGAATTATTATCAATAAAATATCTGATGAATTTTTGAAAATTGACACTATGTGTGTTGAAACTATATAACTATTGTGTTGTTGTTTATCATCAATTAATAATAGCATCAAACTTAAATTGATATTCCTGAAATTACTTGATCCTAGTTCATCAGAACACAAATTCTTGATGGGACCCATTACGTTTTGTTTTACCCAATGGGATCCCATCGACGACACACCGTCACGAAGTTCTTGTAATAACCTTGAGATTAACGTGAGTGCGAACACTAGTGCCAACTCTAACCACGGATTGAAGTGGATGTTGGGCAAACGAGACAGCATTCAAGAGCACAGAGCTTTGAATTAGGTCTTCTCCTCTTCGAGTAAAATTGATGTCCACGTCCCTAACCACCCTTACTTGAAAGTTGCGAGCTGCTCTACGCACTTAATTCAAGTACTCATTAATGAGCTTGTTGTCTGTTCAGAGCCTACACATACTAGTTGCAATAATGTGTAAGAGAACAAGACAATTCACACGAAAAAAAGGTTTTTGTTCAGCAAGGAGTTAGACCTTGGGAGAACTCATTCTTGAAACGAACATCATTTTTTTTGGTTTGCAAATTAGATAGAATTAGGGCACATCAAATTAAATCCATGTTGATGTTAGTGCTAAGATATCAAGGCCATACATGCAGTTGGTCACATAAATAGAAAATTAGATCTAACAAAGTTGAAACTTCCAAGATAACACTTCCCCACATTATAGCATGTAGGGAGTATTTATAGAAACTTATTTTTGAACTTTGCGACAATGTTCCATTGAAGTGAACCATTAGGTAAAACGAAACATAATGGTAACCATTAAGCAATTTATGTTAAGATGAGATTTCATCAAGTAATCTCCTCATGATATGAACAACTCACTACAAACACAATATATGTTTCATTCATTAACATATTATATTCAAAATTATGATAAAAGTAGAATCAAACTGCATGAAATTTCATAAGCCAGATTTAGATAATAATCATGTATTCAAAATTAGTTTACATACAATTTAGTTTATGCGAATAGATGTATTCATTTATTATTATTAGATTGGTATTTAACTAATTTAATAAAAATAAATTATCAATCTGTCAAGTATGATAATATTGTAATTATTCTACCTCAATACTAATATAGATAAAGAATAGATATTGCACAATGAAATAAATATATATATTTTATTGAGATGTCTACAATTTCATGTCACATCATGTATAAGATCAATTTAAATCTGTTTATGATTGAGTTTTGTTTGAAAATTTTTTATTAAGAATTTTGCCATCTTT